GTACAAGGATTTGTATGGGCATAAGTGCAGATCTCCTATAAGGTGGTTTGATGTTTGAGAATCTATGTTATATGGGCCAGACTTGGTTTAGCAGGCCGTAGAGAAGTAAAGCTTACCCGAGAGCGAATGCTAACAGCTCAGAGTCGTCAAAAGTCATATTCTGACGTGCGGCGATGAATTTTAGAGTTTGGGGTTAATGACTGGGTATTCTTAAAAGTTTCACCTATGAAGGGTGTGATGAGGTTTGGAAAGCCAGGCAAGCTTAGCCCATGATATATTGGGCCTCATAGGATTATTTAAAGAGTGGGCCGAGTAGCTTAAGAGTTATATTTGCCCTCAGAAGTGCACTGGGGATCCTACCCAAGTGGTGCTCACTAATGATGTGCAGATCACAGAGGATTTGTCATACGAGGAAGTTTCACTTGCAATCCTAGACCGGCAAATTCCCAAGCTACGAAATAAGGAGGTAGACTCTGTGAAGGTATTATGGGGAAGCGAGAATGTGGAAGAGATGATGTGGAAAACGGAAGAAGAAATAAAGTCTAAATACCCCCACCTATTTCAAACTGAATATATGGCTCAAGATGGCATACTTCGGCATAGCTCTGTTCAGACCAATAGCTAATCCGGTAAGCTCTTATTTTTTACTTTTGTTATTTATGATTGACGGCCATGTAAGGACAAGTATTGCTATTTACAGACATTGGCCATATATGGCATGTATAGTATATTTTCTGGATGCGTGCAGGTTGGTTTTAGTCTAGTGTACGGAGGAGACTCTGGAAATTTTTTCCAAAGTTTCTAAGAGTAAACATTCAAGGACAAATGTTCCCAAAGGGGTAATGATGTTACACCCTATATTTTTGTATGTAAAAGTGTGTCGTAAGCAAACTAATGTAGGACCCAAAAAGAGATCGTCTTTGAAGATATATAAAGTAAGTTAATCATGTTACCTCAGAGGTTACAAATATTGAAGATCATGAACAGCAAGTACAAAGAGGTTTGGAAGGTTCATAAGCTAAAGGAATTGAAGAAAAAAATGTTTCGTCGAAAGACGACAAGTTGGGAATGTTATAACATGTACTTTTGGGATGAGACTAGGGTGCTTAACATGATAAGGAGTTACATTATGAGTTATGTTAGTCGTATAATAGTCATGTGTTATGTTTTGAAGTCAAGCGAGTTGTGGAACAAAAGTCGATGTAAGCCATCACAACTTATGTTCATAAGTTTTACTGAACTTTGAGTCAAATGCAATTGCAATTTTCTCCCAATATACTAAGAATTTACAGCGTGTGTCACCCATAAAACTGAATATCTATGAGTCTTTTTCCAACGCATTAAACTGTTTGTCAATAAGACATCAGAGTAGAGAGATATATGCATTTTTGTGAGACTGCAAGACTGCTAGGTGATAAGTAGGTGTGTCACCTACTTCATTAAATGAGATTCCAAAAAGGGGCTATTTCGGGTCGGCTAAAGAGCCCATTTAAGGTCTTATCTCCTGAAATGTAGAACTCATTATTTAACACAATAACCAGACCTACACCCCCACAAACATCCTCCTAAAAAATCTCCCACAAACCCTAATTGATTTTCTCTGCTTTTCAAGTTCTAGTTGGAGGTAAAACCTATAGTTTGAAGAACCAAAATAGAAGCTGAGTTATTCAACAAATAATGTATGTTTACTGCTCTCCTTCATCCATTTTTTCTTCTGGAGATGTATGGAAAGTCGTTCTATAATTGTAAGAACTCACGGGTCGATGATCGGAAGCCGTGAGTCGAGTTATTCACTTGTAGTGGGCTGGTTTGTGTTGCTATTGGATTGCGTGTTTTACTACTATTTTATGAAGTATTAGAGGATGAAGGGTGTTGAAAAACACCACATAATTGCAGGGTGGTGGACTGGTCATTCGTCGTAACATTTTCGGGTTATTTGACGCTACTACAGTGGTTGTTTTGTGTATGAAGAGATTGGGGTGTGTTGTGCTATTTTGTAGTATTTTGTGGTGTATATAAGGTTATAAAATAATGCACATATGTTGTTATTGTTGGGTGTTCTCATATTGTTGGTGTTATCTTAAATTTGGAGGAAGTAAGGACTATAGGGGAGATGCTGCCCGTTTTAATACAAAATAAGTTTGTAGTTCATTATGCGATAATGGTACCTTTCATAACTTAATGATAATATTATTATCATTCTTGTAGATTATGGTGTGAAGAGGCAATTTCAACTTGGTGATTGGAAAGATTGTGATAAGGTATGTTAAGGCTGAACTTTTCTTCATTTTTGCATGATCCTGTCACTACATGAGTTTGATAACGAGGCATAAAGAGAAGTTCATATTCCTGAACTTATGTACATTATCCTAGTCTCATAAGTTACAGTATTCTTCCTTATCGGGACTTCATATTGAATTTAGTTTTTTTATCTTTCAACCAAGAGAGTAGAGAGTCTATATATATACAGTGTTACATATTGTCACCACCATCGAGCTATAATCGATGGGCAAGACCCTATTAGGCAACCTCTGATCAGATGGTAAGTTATATACCGAGCCTACTATGGTTGAACGCCTATGAGTGAGCCCAGAATGGACGAGATACCTAGCCTAGTATGGGTGAGCGCCTATGAGTGAGTCTACTACGTCTGAGCACTTACATGTACCGAGATTTATAGGGATGGATATTTATTTTACTTATTGAGAGAGTTAATTTTGTATCAACAGGTAAGTATATCTCTAGATCATCTTTGACTCCCAGTTACTTTCAGTTATTATATTATAAGTTCAATTTCAGCTTTCAGTTATTTTATTACCTTACATACTCGGTACATTATTTCGTACTAACATCCTTTTTCTAGGGACGCTGCAATTCATGTGTGTAGGTTCAGATAGACAGACGGGTAGAGCTCCTCAATAGGTTTTGTCGAAGCTCAGCTTGATCGGTAAGCTCCACATCTTTTGGAGTTGTCGGGTCTAGGGTTTTGTGTATATATTGTGTGTATATATATNCGGTGGAGGCTGGTAGACATATCATGTCAATTAGTTCAGTATGTCAGGCTTATAGGCCTTGTATGTGTATTTGTTACTTTTCAGCTTTAGTAGTTATGATGACATTGTCCGCCCAACTTTATATTGATGTTTAGTGAAAGCAAGTTTCTGTTCAATTTTATATCTTGTTTCGAAAATTGTTTTGCAATGTGGCCCCATGGCCAAAGTATGATATTGTACGTTCAAAGTCCCTCAGTCGCAAGTTGGTACGCTAGGTTAAGTGGGGCACTGAGTGCCGGTCTTGCCCCCATATGTTCTGGGCATGGGAACATTGGTAACGGAGCAGTTCCAGCTTAGGAGTCTACAAGTCGTGTCTACTAGGGTCTTATTTATAGATGTGTTGTGCACCGCATTATATAATGTGAGAACGAAAGGGCCTTTAGGAGTTGGTTACCCTTGTTTCAAATCTAAATCATGCTATAGAATTGAGTCATAGGAAATTTGAGTTAAACTTACGTGTTGGTGTGGTGTTTGCATACATATATGACGGTGACTAGGAAGACTACGGGTAGCCAGAGGAGAGATACAATAGCAGGGTACCCCCAGTAGATGGGGCCTAGTCTGAGGGCCCAGGGAGAGACCCCTACTTAGCCATTACCAGCTCCTCCATCACCTAAGGAGATTCCTAATGATACTGCACATCCGGTTCCCCCTCCACTTCCATCAGATTAGGGCTTGAGGGGTGCAGTGTATTTATAGACATAGTTGGTAGATGCCCAGCAACATGCTAATGCATCTGCTAGTGTAGGATTTTTTGAGGGGTATGGGGGTTCAAGGATCTGAGAGTTTATTGTTTTAAGTCCCCCAGAGTTCATGAGGATAGATCAGAGGGAGGACCCGCAGGATTTCATACATGATCTTCACAGGATTTTTCGGGTTATGCATGCCAATGAGATATAGGCAATTGAGCTAGCCGCTTTTTGACTCCGAGATATAGCCATCCTTTGGTACGAAGGATGGCAAAGGTTTAGGGGGCATGATGCGTCTCCGGCTATTTGGGAGAATTTTTCAGATGCCTCCCTTGACCAGTACTTACCACGGGAAACCCGACATGCTTGAGTTAGTTAGTTTTAGCCCTCAAGTAGGGTAATATGAGTTTTTGAGAGAATAGTCTCTGTTTTAACTCATTGGACAGATATGCACCATCCATAGTTGCTACAATGCGGGACAGGATCCATAGGTTTATAGCAAGGTTGGCCCCAGAGTTGACCGAGGCATATGCCACCACTGCAATGTAGGATAGTATTGTTATCTCCCAGATTCTGGCAATCGCCTAGAATATAGAAAGGGGTAGGCATCGACAGTATGGTACAAAGAGGACTGATCAAGGGCATCGTAAGAGGATGATATTTGCCAGGTCTCAAGAGTAGTCTTTGGGTAGTTATAGGCCCCGGTACTTCAGAGGGCCACCTAGTCCTCTGCCACCTCAGTTACAAGGTTATAAGTATGACTGCTATACTTAGTCAACACCAGGTGAGAGCTCACGGGTGTGGGGTTTGCAGTGACAACAAGGTTTAGGGTAGATATGGTCATTTCTGCTGCGGTGTGACATCTATGGTAGAGGAAACTAGGGCCAATGATGAGCAGGTTTCGATGCTTGTTATACATGTGGGCATCTGGGGCATATGATGCAAGATTGCGCAAATAGAGATTCTGGGGGTATGGCACAACTAACAAGTTCAGCAATAGGATCATGTATGTCCATGCATCCTTCAGGGTGCGAGTCTTAGTCTTCGGCTGGTAGAGGTCGAGGCAGAGGTAGAGGTTCCAGTTCAGGTGGTAATCAGAACCGTATCTATGCTTTAGCGAGTCGACAGGACCCGGAATCTTCACCAGACGTTGTGATCGGTATATTTACCATTTTATCTCATGATTCTTATGCCTTGATAGATCTAGGATCTACTTTATTGCATATTACCTTATTTGTTTTGGGGACGTTTTGTATAGTTCCTGGAATACTAAGTGATCCTTTTGTGGTATCTACATCAGTCGGAGAACCTATTATTACTAGACGGGTTTACCGAGGTTGTACGGTGATAGCTTGTAGTCATCAGAAGTCAGCCGACCTAGTTGAGGTAGAGATAATGGATTTTGATGCTATCATGGGCATGGACTCGTTGACAGCATTTTGTGCTACAGTTGATTGCCGAGCAAAGGCAGCTAGATTTCATTTTTTGGGTGAGGTAGTCCTTGAATGGGTAGGTAATACAACATCACCTGGAGGTAGGTTTATTTCCTATCTGAAGGCAAGGAAAAGATTGCAAAAGGGTGCATTAACATATTGTACGGGTTAGAGATGCAGTTGCATAGATCTACACTTTAGTCTATTCTAGTAATCAAAGAGTACGCAGATGTGTGTTTCCATATGAGCTTCCAGGTATTATTCTAGAGCGAGAGATTGATTTTGGCATTGTTTTGCTTCCGGGAACTCAACCAATATCCATCCCTCATTATAGAATAGCACCTGCCGAATTGAAGGAGTTAAAGGAGCAGTTAAAAGGTTTATTGGAGAAAGGTTCCTTCAGGTACCTCGCCTTGGGGTGCACCAGTACTATTTTTTTGGAAGAACGACGGCTTGCCGAGGATGTGTATCGATTGTAGAAAGCTGAACAAGGTAACTATTAAGAATAAGCATCCACTACCAAGGATCGATGACTTGTTTGATGGGGCTAGATGCTTTTCAAAGATAGATTTGAGGCAAGTGTACCACTAGGTCAGAGTTCAAGAGAAAGATATTCCAGAGACAGCTTTCAGGTCCCGATATGGACACTCTGAGTTCCTTGTCATGTCTTTCGGGTTAACAATTTCACCCACCGTATTTATGGATTTGATGAATAGCCTATTCTAACAATTTTTAGATATGTTCATGATAGTAATTATTGATGATATTTTGGTTTATTCATGTTCAGAGGAGGATCATTCATACCACCTACGAGTCGTACTCTGAACCCTTCGTAATCGTAAGTTGTATGCTAAGTTTTCTAAATGTGAGTTTTGGTTGAAGTCTGCAGCATTCTTAGGGCATATTGTATCCGATGAACGTATAAAGGTAGACACTCAAAAGATTGAGGCCGTGAAATCTTGGCCTAGCCATACCACTCTGACAGAGGTTCGTAACTTTCTAGGCTTAGCAGGACACTACCTGAGTTCATAGAGGGTTTTTCTTCCATTTAGGCACCAATGAAGAAGCTGACACAGAAAGCAGCTAAGTTTTAGTGGACAGAGGCTTGTGAGTGAAGTTCCAAGAGCTTAAGAACAGGTTGACCTCAGCGTCAGTTTTAACACTTCTAGAGGGTCTAGATGGTTATGTCGTGTATTGTGATGCCTCAGGAATCGGGTTAGGATATGTCCTGATGCAACATGGGAAGGTAATTCCGTATGCTTCAAGGCAATTGAGGAAGCATGAGAGGAATTACCCTCCCACGACCTCAAGTTAGCTGAAGTTGTCCATGCACTTAAGATTTGGCGTCATTATTTATATGGTGTTCATGTTGATGTATTTCCAGATCATAAAAGCCTTCAATATATCTTCAAGCAAAATGAGTTGAATTTGCGACAGAGGCGATGGCTATAGTTATTGAAAGATTACGACGTTAACATTCTCTAGCATCTGCGTAAAGCTAATGTTCTAGCAGAAGACTTAGGTCGCCGATCTATGGGTAGCTTAGCACATGTAGAGGCTGAGAAAAGACAATTAACTAGAGAGATTCATCAATTAGCTTGTTTGGGGGTTCGGTTAGTAGATTCTATCAATTGTGGAGTTGTACTCTAAAACACTACAAAATCATCTCTCATAATTAAAGTCAAGGAAAGGAAGTACGAGGACCCAGAGTTGGTCGAGTTGAGAGAGCGAGTTCCGCAGCGAAAGAAGCCATTTTTAGAGCTCAAGGGAGATGGATTTCTCAGATATAAGGGTCTTCTGTGTGTTCTAGATTTAGCAGGGCTACGAGACAGGATTATGTTAGAGGCACATTATCCGTGGTACTCAATTCATCATGGGTCAACGAAGATGTATCATGCTTTTTAGGATGTGTACTGGTGGGACAATATGAAGAAGAATATTGATGCATTTGTCACCCAGTGTCCTAGTTGCCAGCAGGTGAATGTAGAGCACCAGAAGCCCGAAGGCCTAATACAGACTATCGAGATCCCGATGCGGAAATGGGAGGCAATAAGTATGGAATTTTTCATGGGTTTGCCTTGTTCACATCTTAAGTTCGCTTCTATATGGATGATAGTTGATAGGCTCACAAAATTATCCCACTTCATGCCAGTCGGATCTACATATACAGCCAAAGATTATGCGAAGTTATATATTAAGGAGATAGTACGGCTACACAAAGTACCAATATCTATTATATCTGACTGTGGGGCCTAGTTTACAGCATGTTTCTGGAGGTTATTTCAATGAGGTCTAGGGACTCAGGTGAATCTCAGCATAGCTTTTCATCCACAGACTGATGGACAAGCCGAGCACATAATTCAGATGCTCGAGAATATGTTACGAGCATGCATGTTGGATTTTAAAAGAAGTTGGGATGAACATTTACCTCTTAATGTGTTTACATATAACAATAGTTATCACTCCAGTATCTAGTTGGATCTGTATGAGGCTTCGCATGGGCGTAAGTGCAGATCTCTGATAGGTTGGTTTGATGTTGGAGAAACTAGGTTACATGGGCCAGACTTGGTTTGGCAAGCCTTAGAGAAGGTAAAGCTTATCCAGGAGCGACTGCTGACAGCTCAGAGTTGTCAGAAGGCATATTCTGATGTGCAGCAATAAAACCTAGAGTTCAGGTTTAATGAATGGATATTCTTAAAGGTGTCGCTTATGAAGGGCGTGATGAGGTTTTGCAAGAAAGCAAGTTTAGCCCACGATATATTGGGCCTTATAGGATTATTCGAAGAGCGGACCGAGTAGTTTATGAGTTAGATTTTCCCTCAGAAGTGCATTCGGGATCCTACCCAAGTGGTGCCCACTAATGATGAAGAGATCACGGAGGACTTGTCATACGAGAAAGTTCCAGTTGCCATCCTAGACCGACAAATCTGCAAGCTACGAAATAAGGAGGTTGCCTCCGTGAAGGTTTTATGGAGAAGCAAGAACGTGGAAAAGATAACTTGGGAAGCGGTGGAAGAAATCAAGTCTAAAAACTCCCCACCTATTTCAAACTGAATATATATGGCTCGAGATGGGATACGTCATCACAAATCTATTCAGGCCAGTAGCCCATCATGTAAGCTCTTATTTTTGACTTTCACTATTTATGATTGATGGCTGTGTGAGGCCAAGTGTTGCTATATATAGACATTGGCCATGTGTGACATGTATAGTATATTTTCTGGCTGCATGCAGGTTGGTTTTAGTCTAGTATACGGAGGAAACTCTGTAAAAGTTTTCCAAAGACTCTAAGAGTAAACATTCAAGGACAAATGTTCCCAAGGGGGGAATGATGTTACACCCTATATTTTCGTACGTAAAAGTGCATAACAAGCAATGTAATATAGGACCAAAAATGAGATCATCTTTGAAAGTATATAAAGTAAGTTAATCATATTACCTCAGATTTTACAAGTATCGAAGATCATGAACAACAAGTACAAAGAGGGTTGGAAGGTTCAGAAGCTAAAGGAATTGAAGAAAAAAATGTTTCGTCGAAAGTCGACAAGTTGAGAATGTTATAACATGTACTTTTAGGGTAAGACTAGGGTGCTTAACATGATAAGGATTTATGTTAGTCATATGATAGACGTGTGTTATTTTTTGAAGTCACGTGAGTTTTGGAACAAAAGTCTATGCAAGCCATCACAAGTTACGTTCATAAGTTTTACTGAACTTTGAGTCAAATGCAACTGCAATTTTCTCCCAATATACTAAGAATTTACAGCGTGTGTCACCCATAAAACTGAATATCTATGAGTCTTTTTCCAACGCATTAAACTGTTTGTCAATAAGACATCGGAGTAGAGAGATATATGCGTTTTTGTGAGGCTGCAAGACTGCTAGGTGATAAGTAGGTGTGTCACCTACTTGATTAAATGAGAGTACAAAAAGGGGCTATTTCGGTTCGGCGAAAGACCCTGTTTAAGATCTTATCTCCTACAATATAGCACTCATTATATAACACAATAACTAGACCTACACCCCTGCAAATATCCTCCTAAAAAATCTCCCACAAACCATAATTGATTTTCTCTCCTTTTCAAGTTCTAGTTGGAGGCAAAACCTAGAGTTTGAAGAACCAAGATAGAAGTTGAGTTATTCAACAAATAAGCTAAGTTTACTACTCTCTTTCATCCATCTTTTCTTTTGGAGATGTATGGAAAGTCGTTCTATAATTGTAAGAACTCATGGGACGATGATCGGAAGTCGTACGTCGAGTTATTCACTTGTAGCAGACTGTTTTGTATTGCTATTGGATTGCGTGTTTTACTACTGTTTTATGGAGTTATAGAGGAGGAAGGGTGTTGAGAAAAACCACTTAAATGTTGGGTGATGGGCTGGTCATTCGTTGTAACATTTTCGGGTTATATGACGCTATTACATTGGTCGTTTTGTGTAAGAAGAGATTGGGTTGTGATGGGATATTTTGTAGAATTTTGTGGTGTATATAAAGTTGGAAAATAATGCATATATGTTTTTATTATTGGGTGTTATGTTATTTTTGGTGTTATCTTGAATTTGGAGGAAGTAAGGATTATAGGGGAGATGCTGCCCGTTTTAATTGAAAATAAGTTTTTCGTTCATTGTACGATAGTGGTACCTTTCGTAACGTAATTGTATTGTTATTATCGTTGTTGTTGATTAAGGTGCGAAGAGGTGAGTTCAACTTGGTGATTGGAAAATATTGTGATAAGGTATGTTAAGGCTAAACCTTTCTTCATTTTTGTCATGATCCCGTAACTGCATGAGTTTGATAACGAGGCATAAAGAGAAGTTCGTATTCCTAAACTTATTTACATTATCCTAGTCTCATAAGTTACAGTATTCTCCTTTATCGGGACTTCATATTTAGTTTAATTTTGTCGTCTTTCAGACAAGAGAGAAGAGAGTCTATATATACAGTATTACAGTATTGTCACCACCATCAAGCTATAATCGATGGGCAGGCCCCTACTGGGCAACCTCTGATCAGATAGTAAGTTATATACCGAGCCTATTGTGGCTAAGTGCCTATAAGCGAGCCTAGAATGGCTGAGATACCTAGCCTAGTATGGTCGGATGCCTATGAGTGAGCCTACTACGGCTGAGCAGTTTCAGGTACTGAGCCTTATAGGGTCGGACATTTATTTTATTTGCTATATTGAGAGAGTTGAGTCAATATCAGTAAGTATATATATCTCCAGATCATCTTTGACTCCTAGTTACTTTTTGTTATTATATTATCAGTTCAGTTTCAGCTTTCAATTATTTTATCGCCTTACATACTCGGTACATTATTTCGTAGCAGGTTCTGATAGACATATGGGTAGACCTTATCAGTAGGTATTTCCCAAGTTAAGCTTGATCGGTAAGCTCCATGTCCTTCGGAGTTTCCGGGTCTAGGGTTTTGTGTACATATTATGTATGTCACGACCCAAACCAATGGGTCTCGATGGGTGCCTGAGTCCTACATGTCAAACACCCCTAAGTATGCATCTAGGATATAAACCTGTATAACATTTGTTGAGTTATGAGAATAATGTACAAGAAGGAAACCTAACATCAAGGCATATGTACGTATACAGGCAGAATACAGTGGGCAAGCCGGCAAGGCTGCTATAGACAACTATATATCCAAAACTGTAAGTCGTCAAGGTCACATACAACCCAACTAGACATACTGTCTACAAACTTCTAATGGAAACATAACTGTACATAGACGGGACTGATCCATGTCATATATATATATATATGCAAACGTATTGTACCAAAATCAAAGCAGCTCCGAATCAAGTGGAGCACGCCAACTCTTGCTGATCAAGGATCCTAAGAAGTGGGACCGTCAGCTAGCCTACCTGCACCTGCAGACATGAAACGTAGTCCCCATGCAATAGGGAGTTAGTACGAAAAATGTACCGAGTATGTAAGGTGTGAAGATTAGTACGTAAAAGACATATATGAGACATGGAATACTAAAACACATCTTTAAATCTGAATAACTTTGTAAATTCTGAAACATTTATAACGTCAATCACGTGCGTATAAATGTCGTGCCATGCATAGGTATGGGTGTACATAATATCATCAAGCCACTGAGGGCATCCCATCATATCATCTCGGCCACTATGGGAAACATCATCAACATATACCAGCTGATCAGGTGGTGGTGGGTATATAATGCCGTAACCTTTTTCCATCTCCCATATACATATATTTGCATATATATGCGTATATAACGTCGTTTGAGTCATATTTCAGCCACTGAGGGCATCATCATCGTATACCAGCTGATCAGGTGGTGGTGCATATATAACGCCGTAACCTTTTTTCCTATCCCATATACATATATTTACATACATATGTGTATATAACGCCATCTGGTCATGGGTCAATGCACATGTATGAAATGCATGAAAAATATGTAATAATCTCAATATTCTTTCCGGATAAATTTTTCCAACTGTGTATTATTCTGAGACCCATGAAAAGAAAATAATAATACTTTTCATGGGGAATCAAGAATATAGACACCCCTAATAATTCTATGAATAAAGTAATTTATGAAAACTGTGTGTTTGCTCGTTTCTTCAGTACAACTTGGACCATGTCAAAAGAAAGAAGGTAGGACCTTAATATACCTGGAGTGGGGAAAACTCCGTATAATACTCCGTTGGAAAACCTTCGTTAATTGAGAGAAATTTGCCCCCGCTTCTTAAAAATTCACGGACGAAATTGATTCTAGTTCCTAAAAGTTTTGGAATGAAATAACGCTTTTTGTTCCTTGGAATTTTGAGAATAATAACATCTTTGGTTTCTTGACTTGAAGTGATGAACGAAAAATTCAAGAAATGATGGTTTTAAGATAAACTTGTTCCAACATTTGGAGTTTGAAATTTTGTGCAAAGCCTTTAAAATGAAATGGGTTAGGATTTGAAATTAAGAAGGCAAAACCCACGTTCTGATCTTAAGCCTATGCAAAGTTTTCAAAATGAAAATGATTTTGGAAAGACTTGGATATCCATTTGATACCTAGGATGTTTAATAGCTTAGCCACTTTATGATAGTGCCGCCATATGTCTCATAATTAATGAAGTTTTATCCACTTATTAGTTAACGGGTAATATTATATTACCCGGTAATTAATCAATTATCCCATAATTTAAAAATTGCCCCAAATTACTTAAAATTCTATTTATTTTTAATATACTATATACATACTTTATATATTATACTAC